ATTTAATCAATCGAACATTAGGTAAAAAAAGGTGCATAATATGTCTCCTTTAAGTTGTGTTTACTTAGAGTTTGTTTAAAGCCACGCACAAACAAACTAATTATAATGATAGTTTTATAATTATTATTAGCACCTCCAAGGCCATGTTGCTCCTCCGGAAAAAGGTGGTTTGCTATGTCCAGGTTGGAGAAAAGTCCTTACCCCAGGTGGAGTAGTTTAAGTATCTTAGGGTTTTGTTCACGAGTGGGGGAATGATGGAACGTGAGATTGACAGGCAGATTGGTGCAGTGGCAGCAGTAATGCGGTCGACGTACCGAAATGAGTTTCCTTCGAAGGGTGGCAGGGCACACTCTTATGGATAGGGTGAGGAGCTCTGACACCTCCACATCGAGAGAAGTCAGCTGAGGTGGCTTGGGCATCTGTTTCGGATGCCTCCTGGACGCCTACCTAGGGAAGTGTTCCAGGAATGTCCCACCAGAAGGAGGCCTCAGGGAAGACCAAGGACACGCTGGAGGGACTGTGTCACTCGGCTGGCCTGGGAACGCCTTGGGATTCCCCCGGAGGAGCTAGAGGAAGTGTCTGGGGAGAGGGAAGTCTGGGGTTCTCTCCTAAGACTGCTGTCCCAGCGACCCAGCTCCAGAAAAGCTGCAGAAAATTAATGAATGAATGGATAATAATATTTATTTAAATGTATGTATTGTTACTTTTGTAATTTAAAGTCATCCCTGTTGAATAAAAGCATACATACATACATGCATACTCACACACACAAATACCCCCCCCCCCCCCCCCCACACACACACACACACAGAGAAACACACACACAAACACACACATAAACTAACAGACAGTTGTAAAGAAAGATTACAAAAAAAACATTTTCCCATAAGTTACTGAATAAAAGTTTTGGTTTCTGCTTATTATTCAAGTACTACATCATAATATACAAGTGCTAAAAGTGAGTGTATTGAATAATTTTCACACTTATGTAGTTCAGGGGAACGTTCTGTGTAGAGGTGTTAAGAGAGGTGAAAATGGTTTCCTCCTTCTCACCCTCACATTTTGTTTTGTGGGCTTTACCCTTCTTCTGACTCATTGTTGGGTTGGAGATGTGGGTGGGGGACTGTAAAATTCATAATAATTCTTCAAAACATAGAGGTCTGAGAATTAGTATAGATTTTTCATTTTGATAAGCTGTGGAAAACACAAGACAACATACCTGCTGAAAGTCTGCTAAACAGAAATGTGTTGCTGACAGTGTCATAATCTTGTGCTGACCACAGTTACCAAGATCTGCAAGATATTTCACAGTATTGCCATGGGTTAACACTTGCATTGTTTACTGTACTAAACTGTGTGCACATAGACAAATAATACTTTGGTTAATAATAATGATTAAAAAAAAAAGTCAATATTGTAAAATAAAATATATGAACATAAAACTATGGACATGACAACATCATTTGTTAACAGATTTGAGTTTTTATTTCATTAACAATTAGTACATATCTTGTCATCTTTTTTATTTGCTGTAATTGACTTGTAATTGTCATAGTTATTATCTTTTACCTCATAATGTTTACTTTGTGTGTTTAAATAATTGGGTATATGCACACAGACATTTCATTTCAGCCAGCCTCAGTGCTGATGAAGAAAAAAATACTATTTATTTTTTTTCACTGATCAATCCCTTTAAAGGCATTGCTATTACCTAATTAGTAAATAAACAGTTGTAAACATCTTTCATACACCTTACAATATATAAAGATTTTTTATTAATATGCAAGAAAGAACATTTACAAAGATACAATATGTACAAAGAGACAAAAAATAAGCTGAAATGATCAAATTAAATCAAAATCCTTTCTGAAAATAAAAAGTAAGGGTGTTTCTTTGAAAATTTCCATTAATGAATATAACATTTTGTCAGAAAAAGCAATGAACTAATCATGAATTTACAATGAGTAAGATCTAAGTTCAGAGAGTAACCAAAGAAAACAATTTGTAGGTGGAAATACAAAAGTTTGGAAATAAGAATTTTTTATTGAAATTGGAAAAGTCCACCCAAAACACTTTACAGTAAGTATATTCCCAAAATAAATGATTTGGGGTTTTATCATATTGAGTAAAATGAGCATTTAGGGGAAATATTGTTAATTGTAAATTTAGCTGTTTTGGTATTTATTGCATAGCAATTATGATTATGACTTCGACAGCTTTATTAGATAAAAGTTTTTTTTTTCTTAAGTAGCCCAAACTGTTCCCAACCAAATATATCATTCCAAAAACCTATGCCACAGGTAAAGAGATCCGAGAGCTAATAATAACTAAGTGAATATCTTTGTTTGACATAGAACTGAGAAGAGTTTGGCCAAGAAAAAGGTTTGTGTTGTCAAAAACATTGAATCTAAAGAACCTTTAGGGCCAGATTTGACTAAAGGTATAACACAATCAGGGATTGCACCAAAAAGGGATATTCTTTGGGCGGAACAGGAAAAGAAAACTGATGCATAAATTCTTCATATGAGAAAGGGACACCATAGTCATCTAAGAGCTGACTAACCAAAAATATATTTTTATTAAACCAGTTATTTAAAAAAAATATATCTAATATTTTTATTGTTCCAAATAAAATAGGTACAAGGACAAAAATCAAAATATATGTAAGGGGCCTGTTTATGAAACAAATACGTTTTCTTTTAATTAACAACAAATACAGAATTTTACAATGTACAATAATATATGCCAGAGTGTACATAAAAACATTCAGTAATAAAAATATACATATTTTCTAAAAATATTACAAGTCTTCTTTGCTTTTTTATTAATATTCTTCAAACTTGTGCAGTAGTCCTTAGTCTCGTGAAGGAAATTAACAAAACAAAGCCTTTTTTTTTTACATGTATTAACATAATAAATGCAAATATCAACATTTTGTAACTTGAATACAATATTTGTTTTCCTTCTAAGAAACTTTTTCCACGCATCCACCCAGAAAATCCCTGTGTAAACAATCACTAAACATATGGACAATAGATTCCTTTTCCATACAATATATCACAGGAATAATCAATTTCCAAATTAAATCTCTCTAAAACCTCTTTAGCCGGATATATAGCTTCTTTTACTTTGTTGTTCATACAATATATTTCATAAGAGCTCCAAGCTTTTTTCCAATTTATATTTCTAAACACATTGGTCCATTTTAAATTATTATATATAACTGTATGACCTGTTATAAAATTTCTGATATATTTATTAGTATAACTTTGTGTAAAAATATCAATATCTACTAAAATATTGTTTTTCTTCAACGTATTTTCCTTCTAAATATTTATTTCCATACTCACAAAATGAAGAAGCTGTTGATATATGGCATCAAATATAATAGCATACTCTGTTGGCATAACTGGAAAACCAAATTTATTTAAAAATTCACTATAAGATAATAAATTACCATTCAAATTTAGAAATTGTCTAACTAATACAATATCATTTTCATTTTTAATACAATATCGATTTTTTAAAATACTGAATAAATCTATTATTACAAATAATAAACTTGTTTGGGAACAAACAAGTTTATGATCCACAAAGAGGCAAAACAGAGTATGTTAAAAGAAAAACAATAATTAGGAATATATCAGAAGGAGGATTAAATGCATTAGATTTCGAAACTATTAACAATATCTTTAAAATCAATTGGATCAAAAATTGTCTTCATTACAATAATTCCTTTTGGTTCTCTATCCCAAATCTTATCTTTGAAAAATGTGGTGGCCTACACTTTTTGCTAACTTGTGATTTTAAGTGTTCTAAAATTCCTATTAAGATGTCAAATTTTCATAAACAAGCCTTGAATACATGGAAACTGATTTATAAGCATAACTTTTCCCCCCACTCATGTATTATCTGGAACAATCAGTATATTTTATTTAAAAACAAGTCCATATTTTGGAATGATTATGTTAAAAAAGGAGTAATTTTTGTTACGGACTTATTAAATCGTGTAGGGGATTTATATGATTACAATGAATTTATTAATAATTTTGGTTTAAAAATTACTTTGATTGAATACAAAAAATTTGTTCATTGTATTTCCCCAAAATTACTTCACCTTATTAAAACCGCAAAAATATATAACCATGTATCTGGCTCTCACCCAGAGCTTACTATTAAGGGGCTTTCTATCAAGGATAAAAAATGTAATAACAATTATATCAGGAATATCCTAACTGCAGATAAAAGTGTTCCTCCAATTGCAATGGTTAAATGGAAACAAGCATTCCCTTCATTCTTCTTTTCCCCAAAAATCTGGTCAGATATTACAAAATACATAATTCCTAATAAAGTAAAAGAAACTAATTTTAAAATATTACATAGATATTATCCATGCAATGATTTTATAAATAAGTTTAAGGAAGGTTTTTCACCCTTATGTTGTTTTTGTTAAAAGGAACCGGAAACAATTCTTCATTTATTTTTCAGTTGCAGTTACACAAAACAGTTTTGGTCCCAAGTTTCCTTACTACTTTTTGAAGTGTTTTATAAATTAATCAGTATAACTGAGCAAATGTTTTTTTTTTTTTACAGATTGCAACTCTGGATTACTGGAAATGGACAAAATAGCAAAAATTCTTATTTTATTTGGAAAGTATCACATCCACAAAACAAAATGTATGCTGACTGTACCAAATTGTAAACTATTTTTCATTGATCTAAAACTTATTTATGATTCCCTCACTGCTATACAAAGTAATACCAAAGCTATTAAGACATCTCAACTACTGGAAAAAATATTTAATGTCCACGATTAATTCCATTGTATACTGTTTATGTATAACTCTGTACATCCCTGTTTGTTCAATAAAAAAAATAAAAATAAAAATAAAAATAAAAGTTTATGATCCACAAAGTAACCTGCACGATGACGCGTCAACCGGAAGCAACACCTTCTTTTTGCCACTCCCACAAATACGTCACGTCGGCTTGACCAAACCCGGAAGTGAAGATGGCGAACGCCTACGAGAGGTTCAATCTGTAAGTTGAAACTTTTATTCAAACGCAACGACATAAATTAACGCGCACAGCGCTCCGTTTCGCTTTAACGAGAGGCAGCCCGTTGAATGGCGGCGTCTGCGGGCGCTGTCATCCACTCATGTTGTCTGTACAGGGCATTTGTGTGTTGCTGCATTGGTTTAAGCCGTCCAGAGACTCTTCAGCTTGGCTGTGTATCAAAACCCAGTGATCTGCCCGTCTAGACGAATGCAAAACCATCGACCATTATACTTTATACTTTAGCTTGACAGTATAAGCGATGTTTTTTAGACCGATCACTTGTTTATAATAAGAGACTGCTCTATGTAAACTCAGTGTTTAATGTAGACATGAGTGTTGACTGATGGTATTAGGATGCTGAGGTCAGCTGAAGAACTGTGAGCTGTTTTCATTCTGCAGTTTTATATTTACAGTATGTTAAACCTCAGTGCAAACCCGCTTTTATTGCTTTGCCAAGCCAACTTAACATTTAATATATCAACAATTATTGTTTCTGGTTATATGATAACGTTACTACCTCTTAATTTTAGAGACATCTATTCATTTTACTTATTAGTTGGCTACTTCTTTAGTCTCTATTGCTTACTTTTACAGTTAGTTTTCAACTTTTTTACTTTGCAAATAATGCACATGAATATTAAATACAGAACATTAGCATATAATCATCATTAAAAGGGTTCAATGATAGGCATGGGCCGGTATAATATGCTGACAGTATGATAACCTTGGATAAAAATATCATGCTTTCATGGTATCACAGTATTGTGATTACTGCTCTAAAATATGTTGTTTTAAATGTCTGGGTAAAAAACAACAACCTTTCCTCCATTGGACGTGGTATAATTTATTTTAAGAAACATTTAAAATAGTTTGGAGCAGTGGCTTTTAATGTAAAGGGTCCTTTTTCAGCCGGAGATACAGCCGGAAAACTGAATACAATAGTTTTAAAAAGCAAGTAAAAACAAACAAAACTTACATATACCATAGGGAACGGTATAATGAAAAGACTTTTCCAAACCACAGTAAACCTTGAAAATAGTTATCGTCCCATGCCTAGTCAATAATGTCATGTAAATGTCTATACATATTAAATAATAAGTGTAAATTAGTAAATGAACCAATACAAAATGCATAATCAATAAATAAATGAATTAGGGGTGTTTTCAATACCATAGCCATTATTATTTTGCCTCATTACATATTTGCTAACATTGTGGGTCACTAAAATGCACAAATGTTTTTTTTTATTTATTAAAATTAAATGTCAGTCCTTCTATGTAGACAAAAAAAAATCCATTCATAGATAAGAGGTCTTCTGGGAGATTTCCCAGAATCAAAATTTTTCATAATCACCTGACATGATAAAGCTCTAGATCACTGTGATTCAGATTTATTAATGTGATTTTAGAGATACCATATAGACATGGGCCAAAGTCATACAGGGTCTGCATTATCTTTACCAAATTATCATCACCTCTGTGCATTGACATAATACATAAAATTAGTCACCCTCTTCTTCCTGGCATCTACAAGATTCTAAACAGTTGCTTAGGACTTCACGCTGATGATGACTGCATGGACAGACCAGGGGGGAACTAGTGTGGATTGAAAGTGATTAGGTACAGCAGCCACCAAAACTTCCAGATTGAACATAAAATACCAATTTATCATTTGCCGATATTCAATAATTTAATATATTGTGATAATGAATATGTACAGTATCGATATTGTGGGCACTTCTAAATACAGTATGGGATGTTAATTATATATATATATATATATATATATATATATATATATATATATATATATATATATATATATATATATATATATATATCAAATATATATGTCAAATAACTTATTTTTTTAAAGCTGTAATTGTTTTATTAAATGGAGTTGAAAGCTAATGAAATTCACTTGTATTTTTCTATTACATAACTATAATAGGGCTATTTCTAAGTGCTGATTTCAAATAATTTACTAATGTTTACTAGCGCCAGACACAATTTGTGGACCTTTTTTCTATTTCTGCAGAATTTTGTCAAATTTGAAGGATTTTGGGAGTATATTTTAACTAAAATCTTAAATATGAAATAGGAAATAACAATTTTAAACTTTTATTTAAGGTTTACGATGCAAATCCAATTAGATCCACTTACTTTTTTTTTTTACACGAAGAAAGTCTCTCTTAAAACATTCAGTTTTATGCAAAGGTTTGGGCAACCCTGATAATTATTTTAATAGCAAGTCATAGTCTGTTGGCCTTTTAAAGCAGTAATTTGATTTGGATATATTTTATACCCTTTGGAAAAAGCAACATTTGAGTTCTGACATGATATTTATTTAATCAACAGATGCAATGCAATTTTATTAATAACAAAAACAGACAGGTGCAAAAATTTGGGTACCCCAACACCCCAGCTGAAATAACCACCTGTAGATGCTTTTTATAGCCAAGGATAAGTCTCTGAATTCTTGATAAAGGCATTTTGGACCATTCTTCCTTGTAAAGTTTCTTGAGTTCAGTCAGGTTTTTTCAGTCAAGCTCTTTCGATGATGTTCATGTCTGGGGACTGGGATAGCTATTGTAGAACATTGTATCTTGTCTGAGCATGAATTCCTTGGTATATCTGAAACTGTGCACTGGGTCATTGTTCTGTTGAAACATCCAACTCTGGCGTAATTTCAGCCTCTTGACTAATTCATTGTTCTTAAGAATCTGAACATTGAATATTGCAGGGCTGCCAACTTATGGCTTTAGCTTGGAGTGAGAATTTAAGCCACGCCCATATACACAAGCCACGCCCCCACAACAAAGCCACGCCTGTTTATTTATAAATATATAAAATGATAAATATATTCTTTTAATAAATCATTTTTTAATATTTATTACAAATTAGAGTATCTTTACTATTATATAATTATTCTATTATAAATAAATAAATGAAAAAAGTATTTTAATTATAACTGGAAAATTAATGTAAAGATACAACTGAAGTAACATGCTAAGATAATTTAAGAAATATATTAATGAACATTAATTTCATGACAGCATGGTGGCTCAGTGGTTAGCACTGTCATCTCACAGCAAGAAGGTCACTGGTTCGAGTGACACATGAACTATAGGAGAATTGATGAACTAAATTGGTTGTAGTGCATCAGTGTGTGTGTGTGAATGAGTGTGTATAGGTGTGTATAGGTGTTTCCCAGTACTGGGTTGCGGCTGGAAGAGCATCCACTGTGTAAAACATATGCCGGAACAGTTGGCAGTTCTTTCCGCTGTGATGACCTCTGAAATAGAGACTAAGCTAAAGGAAAATTAATAAATGAATATTAATTTCATTAGAATGAAATTGTGCAGATTGTAGAACACAAAACATGTTTTATAGAATTCTCTATTGTGTGTTGTCTTAGACCTGACTTATGTTATGACCAAGAATTAGGTTTAAGTCTAAACTCCCTGACTTTCTCCCTCCTTTCTGCTTCATAAAAAAAAAACTCTATCAGGAGATATGCTAGCAAAATAAGATCATCATCATATTAGTTAAACTTTAATTTTGTCGATTTCCAAAACTCACTGCGTGCCGACACCTGTACATTAAAGGCTGTTACCCTGCCATAAAACGCAGCCCGTCTGAAATGTGACCAAACATCATTATGACACTAATAAAAGTGAACCCTTCCCTTACAGAAGGTTACAGATTTGCTTTTACATTTATTTGTAAACCTAGTGCATTTTAAAATGCATCTCACTTATTGTTTTTGCTTTATCCATCAAGATAATAATTATATTATGTTTTGATCAATTATGGCTTTTTGTTTTCATGTAGACTGAGAATACAAATGAAAGTCTATGAAACGCAGGCCTGGATTGAGAATTCAGAGACCCCTCGGCACAATGTCTTGTAGGCCATCTACCTGGCCACACCTCTATAGTGAATCAAAAAATAAGATTAATAAAATATATTTTTTTATAAAATTATTCTATAATGTATTGCTTGCTGAAGTTATAAGCTAAAAATATTTAAGGATATTTAACTTCTACAAACTTATAATGCATATGATTTGGATATAACACCTTTCCAATCCAGACATAAATCTGATTCTTCCATAATACACACACTTATTAATGATTCCTACTTGTCTTCCTCGTGATAAAGTGTGTGCAAAATCTGATATGGGAAAAAAAAAGAAGAACGTGTTTATCAGACGATAAACATTTTTCATTTTTTTCCTAGCTGGGTTCTGATGTACTTTCCTGTCAGTGAAAGACTGTCCAGCAAACTCACGAGCAGTAAATTGTGCACAGTTATCTGCTTTTTAAGTAGTGGGAATGTATTAATTACTCGCGGTCTCCTCCCTCGCCATAGTAAGCTTCTGCCATATAATGCATATGTGATAAATGATGTCTGTACATAATAACCGCTTGTGATTATTACTGAACTGATACCAAATTGTTCTTGTCTGCATCACGGTGCATCGAAGAAACTAAATTATTTCGACACCCCTACTTGCAACACATTCACACTAAAGGCTGATTTATACTTCTGCGTCTAGCGAATCCAAATACTATGGCGCAGCCTACGCGTGGATGCATAGCCCTCGCCGTGGCCATGGGCGACATTAACGCGCACCTCTCAAACAATTTAACTACACGTCGCAACAACACGTAGCTCAAGGTCTGTGGCAGCGCTGACGAATGTGGCAGAGGTGGGAGCTGCGCGAGCCCGATGGAGCCAGTGTTTACAAGTGTCTAGTTCTATAAAGGAGCTCCAGATGGAATTATTCGCCAATTCCCGCCTCAAAATGAGTCAGTTTGAGCCACTTGTGCATTAAGGTAGCACACGGAAAAAAACAAAACACCAGTAAAGAAACTCGACACAGAGGAACGTAAACACCCACTGCCAGCTAGCGTTTTGGAAGTTTTATTGCAGAGCAACACAAACAGCATGCAGATGTATATATGCAAGGCAAAGCAC